CCAGAACTCCGTTTTTGACAAATAATATACCGTTGGAAAGCTTTTTCAACAAGGATTCCAATGACATCAAAATCGAAAATAGATTCTATTTATAATAAAAGTTATGCTTGATTTACAGTACGGGTTTTAATGGAAAAATCCCAAATTTTAAGCAATATTTTCTAGATTTGCAACAAACATTTTCATGCTAGGCAAAGATTCAAACAATGCTATGATACCAAATGTAAAATACATTCATATTCCAATATTCATATAAAAGTTGATAATAAAATCAATTTCATCATAAAATCTCCATGGAATATATGCAGAAGTAAATGACAAACCTCTAGCCATAGCAATTGTTGTTTAATCTTCTTGCTCCTTCAAAATACAGAATCTTCCACTGACTGCAATTTTAGAGTGATGGTTTTGGGAATCTAAAATAAAAATTGTGTCTGATGGGGACCTGTAAAGTCTCATTTTTATATGCAATTGTCTTTCCATCAAAGACAACTGCCCAAGAGAAGAGACACAACCGTATGACCACATCAATTTACATCAGCATAAAAGTGTAGGACCATAATGTAATTATATTAAAAGTGTAGGACCATAATGCAAAATATCTAACAACATCACCTATTACATTTTCGTTTCTACATCTTAAATTTATATTTTAATTTAAAAATAAATTTTGAAATATATCTTTTTTCTTGAAGGAAGATATNTAAGAGTGATGCTATGGGTACTAACGGATGGGTACTAATCTGTGTACTAACTAAAGCATAGTACCCGTACTATGTGTATAGTACCCGTACTATGCTTTAGTTAGTACACAGATTAGTACCCATTCATTAGTACCCAAAGTATTATTCAATGAATAATACTGTCTAGAATAATACTTTGAGTACTAACAAATGGGTACTAATTTGTGTACTAACTAAAGCATAGTACCCGTACTATGCGTATAGTACAGGTACTATGCTTTAGTTAGTACACAGATTAGTACCCATCCGTTAGTACCCATAGCATCACTCTTAATTTATTATTATTAAATTAAGAATAATACTTTGGGTACTAATGAATGGGTACTAATATGTGTACTAACTAAAGCATAGTACTCGTACTATGCGCATAGTACGGGTACTATGCTTTAGTTAGTACACATATTAGTACCCATAGCATCACTCTTAATTAAAATACTATAACTTAAATATAAGTTTATGAAAAAAGCTATTACAAATATTTAAACCCCTTTTATATTTTATCTTCTATAGTTTCCATTAAATTCAAAAGCAAATTTCAAAATTATTCTAAAAACATATAGATTAAAAGATAATGACCATTAGTCAACCCTTTGGATGGTTGAGTGGTCGAATAAGAACTTTAAGTATATTATTCAAGAAGTTTTAAACTTTATTTTCTTCAATTACTAATAGATATGGCCATTAGATAATTACTCGTCGAGTTAACTTTAAGACTACTGTATTATATTATCTTTTATTTTAAATTAAATTAATTATCGAAATGATGCTACTTGTCCCCAATCTATTATGATAATAGATCTCAATTATTATTATTTGTTTCGAATAATACGGTTTTACTTTTATCCTCAATCAAAATTTATTTAAGTTACATCACCTATTACATTTTCGTTTCTACATCTTAAATTTATATTTTAATTTAAAAATAAATTTTGAAATATATCTTTTTTCTTGAAGGAAGATATGCTTCCTTTTTTATTTCTCATCTCTTTCTCCAGTCCGTCTACTTTTTCAGATTCTTTTGCAATTAAGTAAAGTTTTTTTTAGCCATGAATTTTTATTAGGTACTATTAACCGAATAATTCTTCTAGTTAAAACATCTTCATATTAATTTATCAGAATTATGAATATAATAAGTTGTAAAATATCATATCAATAATAAGATGAATCTAAGTGGCTATTTGGTTGGGGGTTGTTGATGCTTGATTTTGACACCAACTAAATGCACGTATGAAATGCTAAGCTGACTCAGAAGACACACGTGAATGGGGGTATGAGAATGGATAAGAGACGGGGAACGATGTTTAAAGTGGTTCGGATGCTTAAACAAGCGACTCCTACGTCCACTGATATTGTATTAATATACTGAGGTCAGGTCGCGTTCAGCAAGCTGATTTACAAGTGGTTACAAAGAGAGAAAATATGTATGCTATTCCAGAGAAAAATTAGCTAATCCCACAAATGGGAGAGGATCCCTTTATTTATAGTGGGATTAATTGAGGTAATGATTACTAAATTAGGGAGTGGGTCAGATTGCCATGCAAATCCTTCCTTGCGTCCCGTTATTCACCTGCTCGAGTAATTTACTCGATACTTGCAGGGATTGGACACGTGGATCACCTCCAGCCTTTCACCAGCCTGACGCACACTACTGCACTGGTAGGAGCATGCCTCTTGTGTCAGCGTGTGACGTGGTTGCGTCTGAATGGCTGCTGGACTTACCTAAGCTTTAACCACTTATGCTGACAAGACTCTGCGGTAGCCCTACTTTTCCAGGCATAACAGGGGTTATCCCCTGTTATTGAGGTAATGTCATCTTATATTACTTAGATTAGCATGTTTGGTTGTCAAGTAATATAAGATTCTAGTAATCTTCCAAAACCAATAATAATTACTATTGTTATATATGTAGTAATCTGATTATCTTCATAGTCTTAGGTATTTTAAGATTACTTGGTAATATTAAATTTTTTACAATTTTATCTCTTATTAATAATTTTTTTTGACAAGAATGCCCTTATTTTGAAATTAATTTACATGAACCTACCATTACAATTTTACCCCAAATTAATTAAATTTTGGACAATAATGCCCTTATATTTAAAACAGATTATAGGCCACCTAGGACCACCACCACCCACCACCCACCATCGTTGGCAGGTGACCACCACTGGCAATAATCGGAATGACGCAAGACCGACTAGATATGGCCGGCCATGAGCCCATATAGCCGGAAACAACTAGATCTGTTTTCTGGCCAAATCGATGGATTTGGCCGTTAACGCCCAGATTTTCGGCACAAGAGGTCGAAATAGATCTAGCCAACGGCCAGTTCCTGGCGCACAACTATCACAAATTTGGTCGTTAGCGGCCATTGATATGGTTAGAAATGGCCAGAATAGCTATGGCCATTTCTGGCCATATCCACGGCCATTTGGACTTTTTCAATCGTTAATCTGTAAAAAACGGCCATATCGACACACATTCAACCATATCCGACCAGTCATGCACCGTTTTGGTGATTGTCGATGGTGGCCGGCAATGGCTTGGGGTGGGGACGAGTGATTTTGTTATAAATTAAACTTTCATATGGCTGTGGTGTTTTAACAAAATTTCAAATATATGGGGTTAAAAAGTATGATTCAAAAAATAATATTATATTAATATTTAAAAAGTTGGGCAATTTAGTAATCTATATAACATACCCACAAATTTATCCTCCTAACCAAACATATCAATATAACATATCCACCAACTTATTTCTACCTAATCAAATATATTTTTCTAAACATTTCCAGTAATCTTCTCAGTAATCTATCTTTCCATTAATATAATGTTCTCAGTAATACAACATTCTCTGAACCAAACACACCCTAACAGTAATTATACATTTATTGATCAAAATTAATATGAGAAGATTCTAACTAGAGAATAACTAATGTTTAGAAGGGTGATGTAATAAGATAACAAATTTGAGGTAAAAATAGTGTATTCTAAATATTTTTTATTTATTATCAACTTAACATAAATACCGGATTTGTTTATAGAAAAAGTAGAATATTAATCTATTTTATTAGAAGGTTTCTAGATGCTTTTTTAAAATCATTGATAAAAATAATAGTATAATATTCAGCTTTAACAATAATTAATTTCAAAATTAGTTCATCAAACATTTTTTGTATTTTAACTTTAAATATAGTAATAAGTTTTAAGACCCGGCTAGGCCGGTTTAAATGGTTGAACCAGGAGCCGGGGTCTAAATTGGGCCGGTCACACTTTGAAGACCTTTTCATCAATTAATCCGGTTTGACCTGCAGTTGGATCAATCGCATTGTAGTGAACCACCGGTCCCAACTGGATTGGTGCCAAAACTGGGTTAATGAAAAATGAATTTTCAATTTACACAATCCTAATTCCTTTGTATTTTATTGTTTTTTTACTTTTACAATAATACTAAAGGTACAAAGAAATTTACAAAGATTTTTTGTACAAAGTGATGTGGCAAGCCATGAATGCCAGAGTAAATACAAATTCATCAAATTCACTCATCCATTCGTCTCTTGCTACATCACTTTGTACAAAAAATCTTTGTAAATTTCTGTATACGTCTAGCATTACCCTTAGTTTTAAGAGGTCTATATGAGTTTGATAAGGAGTGAGAAATCGGTTTGGTTAGTGGGGAAACTGGGAAGTGAGGAAAAAAGAACTTAAAAGGTCTTTTAGAAATTTATTAATTTTTAGGGTTTAATTTTTTTATTACGTGATGCTGATGTCAATATGATGACATCACTAATTGGGTTGGACCGATTAGACTGATCAACCTAGGACTTGGGCCTTTGACTAGGGCAATGCCCGAGTCGGGTTTGAAAACATTGCTGAAAACTACAAGTTCTTTCTTTGAACACATTTATTTCGTTTTAAGTTATGTATGATTTTTTTTAGAATTCTACGTTTTACCCTTGGAATTTTTTTCTACATTTCCCCGGTCTAATAAATGTGTGATTTGTGTTTGATTTATTGATCATAATACTATGTGAGAGGTAAAAAAATAATAATAAAAAGCTAAGTGATAGGAGAAGAGAGAGTATATGGGTATTTTAGTCATTACATATAAGATGATGGTATATGATTTGGGGCAGTTTTGTTAGTTTACGAAACTGATGGACCAAATAGATAAAGTTTCCATCTTATAAACACCGCCTAAAAATTGAGTGCGATGTGCCGTCTTAAGATTTGGAGTTGTTTTGTTAGTTTACGAAACTGATGGACCAAAAACTTGGACGAAGTTTCTATCTTATAAACACCGCCTAAAAATTGAGGGAAAATTCAAAAACTCAAATCATCAATCTGCCGCCTTCTTCTCCCTGCTAGCACAATTGGGTCAGCAACAGAACGTTTGATGAAAAGTAGTTCATAGCTCCCGTCTTTATTCTAAATCATTTTAAGGTAATTTATAAATAAATTATAATTTTTCTTTGAGATTTATTAATTTGGTAATTTCTTTCTTCGTTGGTGTTGGTTAGATTGGCGCATTGGAATTTGCCGATTAGGTGTTTGTAGAAAGTCCTAAATGATTTTGATTTTAAAATCTCTAACTTCTTTAACGGCCTAATTTATGTATTTTAAAGTGTTAAGGTTATTTGACTTTAGATTTCATTGAAACAGCAGAAATTAGTTGTGGAAATGGATTTGTTTGTTGAGAATTGATCAGTAAAGATGTCGAAATTTGATTACCCCAAGCTTTCGGTGGCGGAAATCATCTCGATATTGGCAGATTCACAGATAGCTATTATTACAGAAAACGATCTCAAGAACCCGAACCCGGATTTCATTTCGGATCTCTACACCCGACTCTTGATCTACCTCGACATTCTCCACGAGTATGCGTGCTATTTGCTTGGTTTTCTTGATTTTTTGAACTCATTTGATTGTTTTATGATTAATGAGAGCGTTTGTTTTGTGGGTTTGTTTTCTTTTCTTGCAGGGAAGATCAGGGGCAACTGGAGTTTGGTGCCTTGGAGGAGCTTGAGAATCCGGACCTTCATGTGGGTTCAGTTCAGACCATGAATTTGTATAGTAGGATAAAGGAGGTGGTGAGCTCTGTTGATTGCCCGATGAAATTTACACTCAAAGATCTTGTAAGACCAGATGCTACTCGGACCGAGTATTTTGTCAGTGCAATTCTAAATTTTTGTCTTCACAAGTGAGTTTCCTCTTTTGGTTCTACTAAAATAAATAGTGAATTTTATCTCGGGAATTTGAAAAATTCTTTTGAACTGTTTGATTTAGTTGTGAATTTGGTAGATTGGTTTGTCAAAGTAGTGTCTCTTATAAGTATTTATTAGGATATTTGTTAAGATTGTTGAATTTCAAAGCACTCTTTGCAAGTGATAATCATGTTTGTCCAGTTTACGGTTATGATTAAGTTATTATGTATCTACTGTTTTCTTCATACTTGCATGTGGATTCTTAACATGATATAAAAGAGGAAACTAGCAAGCCCTGGATAAGTTATTGGCTTGAAGTTCTTAATCAGAAGTGCTGCAGAATAAAACACTTGGTTGATAAAATGTCATTTGGATGAGATTATTTGTCCTGGATCTGGGACTGGGAAACGCATTGTTAGGTACGAATATTATGTATAATTAGAGGAATTTATGTTGTCTGTAATAATTAAAGTTTGTTCTCATAATTGAGATATTGGTGAAGTGAATCTCCTTTAATCAGTTCATGTGTTTCACACTTAGTAATGTAAGTTGTTTATATGTTTTCAATTTCAGAGACACAAAAATGAATCTTCTTAGACCGATTGCTGAGGATTTAACTATTCTTGACGAGCAGCGAAGAGAGTGGGAGGCTAAGATTGCCCAGGTAAATCAGAAGAGAAACCTTTGATGCTGTAAGGTGAACATCAGTTTTCACCAAATATTTGCTTTGCAGTTGAATGCAGAGATCGCAACCTATAATGAAGCAAGAGAAAGGGAGTTACCTGTTGTTCAAGAGGTAGATGCAAAAGTTAAAGAATTGCGTCAGACCATTCAGGACCTCAACAAGCATCAGATGTCACTAAGAACTTCTATTAAAAAATTGAAGGAGAAGACAGGGGAACTTGAAGAGAAGGTAAGAATATTTGAAACCAGCTTCTTTTATATAGCCTTTGATCCAATAATTTTAGGAATGAAAAGTGGTACTAGGCTCTGTTTAGAGGAATCAAATATCAAATGTGTGATAAGCAAATAAGAAATCAGTATTATTAGGAGGATAATGCAAAATATCAACAACATCACCTATTACATTTCGTTTCTACATCTTAAATATATTTTAATTTAAAAATAAATTTGAAATATATCTTTTTTCTGAAGGAAGATATGCTTCCTTTTTTATTTCTTATCGCTTTGACCTGTCCTCGTCTACTTTTTCAGAGGTTTATACGAGAACAACAAAGATTCTTTTGCAATTAGGTAAAGTTTTTTCAGCCATATATTTTATTAGGTTCATTAACTGAATAATTTTAGTTAAAACACTTTCATATAATTTATCAGAATTATGAATATAATAAGTTGTAAAATATATCAATAATAAGATGAATCTAAGTGGCTATTTGGTTGGGGGTTGTTGATGTTGATTTTGACACCAACTAAAGCACGTATGAAATGCTAAGCTGACTCAGAAGACACACGTGAAGGGGGTAGAATGGGTAAGAGACGGGGAACGATGTTAAAGTGGTTCGGATGCTTAAACAAGCGACTCCTACGTCCACTGATATTGTATTAAATACTGAGGTCAGGTGCGTTCAGCAAGCTGATTTACAAGTGGTTACAAAGAGAGAAAATATGTATGCTATTCAGAGAAAAATTAGCTAATCCCACAAATGGGAGAGTCCCTTTATTATAGTGGGATTTTGAGGTAATGATACTAAATTAGGGAGTGGGTCAGATTGCCATGCAAATCCTTCCTTGCGTCCGCTATTCACCTGCCGAGTAATTACTCGATACTTGCAGGGATTGGACAAGTGGATCACCTCCAGCCTTTCACCAGCCTGACGCACACTACTGCACTGGTAGGAGCATGCTCTTGTGTCAGCGTGTGACGTGGTTGCGTCTGAATGGCTGCGGACTTACTAAGCTTTAACACTTACTGACAAGACTCTGCGGTAGCCCTACTTTTCCAGGCATAACAGGGGTTATCCCCTGTATTGAGGTAATGTCATCTTATATTACTAGATTAGCATGTTTGGTTGTCAAGTAATATAAGATTCTAGTAATCTTCCAAAACCAATAATATTACTATTGTATATATGTAGTAATCTGATTATCTTCATAGTCTTAGGTATTTTAAGATTACTTGGTAATATTAAATTTTTTACAAATTATCTCTTATTATAATTTTTTTGACAAGAATGCCCTTATTTTGAAATTAATTTACATGAACCTACCATTACAATTTTACCCCAAATTAATTAAATTTTGGACAATAATGCCCTTTATTTAAAACAGATTATAGGCCACTAGGACCACCACCACACCACCCACCATCGTTGGCAGGTGACCACCACTGGCAATAATCGGAATGACGCAAGACCGACTAGATATGGGGCCATGAGCCATATAGCCGGAAACAACTAGATCTGTTTTCTGGCCAAATCGATGGATTGGCGTTAACGCCCAGATTTTCGGCACAAGAGGTCGAAATAGATCTAGCCAACGGCCAGTTCCTGGCGCACAACTATCACAAATTTGGTCGTTAGCGGCCATTGATATGGTTAGAAATGGCCAGAATAGCTATGGCCATTTGGCCATATCACGGCCATTTGGACTTTTTCAATCGTTAATCTGTAAAAAACGGCCATATCGACACACATTCAACCATATCCGACCAGTCATGCACCGTTTTGGTGATTGTGTGGTGGCCGGCAATGGCTTGGGTGGGGACGAGGTGATTTGTGTATAAATTAAACTTTCATAGGCTGTGTGTTTTAACAAAATTTCAAAATATGGGGTTAAAAAGTATGATTCAAAAAATAATATTATATTAATATTAAAAAGTTGGGCAATTTAGTAACTATATACATACCCACAAATTTATCCTCCTAACCCAACATATCAATATAACATATCCACCAACTTATTCTACCTAATCAAATATATTTTTCTAAACATTTCCATAATCTTCTCAGTAATCTATCTTTCCATAATATAATGTTCTCAGTAAACAACATTCTCTGAACACCAAACACACTAATATAAACTAATTATAACAGAATTAATTTATTGATAAATTATATAAATTATTCAATAGAGAAATATTTAGAAGGGTGATGTAATAAGTAACAAATTGAGGTAAAAATAGTGATTTAATATTTTTTATTATTATCAACTACATAAAACCGGATTTGTTTATAGAAAAAGTAGAATATAATCTATTTTATTAGAAGGTTTCTAGATGCTTTTTTAAAATCATTGATAAAAATAATAGTATAATATTCAGCTTTAACAATAATTAATTTCAAAATTAGTTCATCAACATTTTTTGTATTTTAACTTAAATATAGTAATAAGTTTAAGACCGGCTAGGCCGTTTAAATGGTTGAACCAGGAGCCGGGGTCTAAATTGGGCCGGTCACACTTTGAAGACCTTTCATCAATTAATCCGGTTTGACCTGCAGTTGGATCAATCGCATTGTAGTGAACCACCGGTCCCAACTGGATTGGTGCCAAAACTGGGTTAATGAAAAATGAATTTTCAATTTACACAATCCTAATTCCTTTGTATTTTATTGTTTTTTACTTTTACAATAATACTAAAGTACAAAGAAATTTACAAAGATTTTTTGTACAAAGTGATGTGGCAAGCCATGATGCCAGAGTAAATACAAATTAATCAAATTCACTCATCCATTCGTCTCTTGCTACATCACTTTGTACAAAAAATCTTTGTAAATTCTGTATACGTCTAGCATTACCTAGTTTTAAGAGGTCTATATGAGTTTGATAAGGAGTGAGAAATCGTTTGGTTAGTGGGGAAACTGGGAAGTGAGGAAAAAGAAATTAAAAAGTCTTTTAGAAATTATTAATTTTTAGGGTTTTAATTTTTATTACGATATACGATCATAAAACATCAAATAATTTATAACATGAATTGTGTAATATAACACAAATCAATACAATAATAATACATTATTTATGCATAACAAAGTAATATATAACATAAAAAACCATCATACAAGCTGTCACCGACTTCCATGCGCCACCATGACTAAAGGACGCGCCCCCACGCGCCGCCAGGAGGCAGCACATACTCTCACGCGCCCTCACGTGCCTCCACGGTCTTTCACGCGCCCACACGTGCTTACACGCGCCCAAACACACACCCACACGCGCCTGACGCAAGCACAAGTCCTTCACGCGCCAGCACGCGTCGGGTCTTGAACAGGGTCGGTTGACCCATTTGACCCATTGGACCGGCTCGTTGACCGGTCTGGACCGTTGATCGGTTCAGTGATCAGTTTGCCCCGTTGACCGGTTCATTGACCGGTCTGGACTGTTGATCGGGTCGGGTTGACTAACGGGTTTGGGCTGGGTTGACCAGGTCATTTCACCCGTTTTGACTTTTGACTTTGATCGGGTCAGTTTGACCCGTTATCTTATTGGGTCGATTCTTCTTGACCCGTTTTCTGCAACTTTTACCCAATTTTTTTCCAGATTTTCAACAGCTCATTTCCGGCCATTTTTCCTGCGTTTTCGATGGGAAACTTGAATGTGGACATATAACATATATCAGTGACATCCCAAATGACAATTTCGTCCTAAATCGATGCCATAAATGGCTTCCGAAAACACCCAAACAATAATTACTAACCAAAGCTTTAAACTAGCATAACTTTGCATCCAGAACTCCGTTTTTGACAAATAATATACTGTTGGAAAGCTTTTTCAACAAGGATTCCAATGACATCAAAATCGAAAACAAATTCTATTTATAATAAAAGTTATGCTTGATTTACAGTACGAGTTTTAATGGAAAAAATCCTAATTTTATGCAATATTTTTCAGATTTGTAACAAACAACTTCATGCTAGGCAGAGATTCAAATAAAGCTCTGATACCAAATGTAAAAAAACACATTCATATTCCAATAATTATTGATAATACAATCAATTTCTATATAAAACCTCCATGGAACATATGCGGAAGTAAATGACAAACCTCCAGCCATAGCAATTATTCTTTGATCTTCTTGCTCCTTTATAAATTACAGGATCTTCCACTGACTGCAATTTTGGGTGATGGTTTTTGTGAATCAATATGAAAATTGCGTCTAATGGGGACCTATAAAGTCTCTTTCTTATGCAGTTGTTTTTCCATCAAAGACAACTGCTCAAGAGACATAACTGTATGACCACATCAACAGGGACCAAAATGTAATTATATGAGAAGTGTAGGACCATATTGTAAAAAGTCTAACATTTGGTTCTGTTGTTCACTAGTAACAATTGCAAAGCATTCTTTATTCAATATGATTTTTATAATCTCAAGAATTCACAATGTTGCAGGATTGGTATAGTTTTCTTTTTTTTTTTTTTCTTTTTTTTTTTCTCTGGAGACATATGTACTGATTCATGGATTGAGAAAGAGGTAAAAATATAAGATTTCTTCATTTCTTTCATGAAATAAATGATAGGATTTTCCAGTTTAACAGGTATGGATTGAGTTCCATATGCATCTCCTATTGGCTATATAGCTTGTTGGATGTCCCTTCATTTATGTTGTGGAGACTAACTGACATTCTTTCATAGTTTAATAAAGGGCATAATCACGTGGCCGGTCATCGCTTCTAAAGAGTTTTCTGTCACTCTGCTCCAAATGGTCAAATCATAATGTTTTATTATGAAAACTGTTACACTATGCCTATGCTGAACTATTTCATTAGCTAATTTGAAGTATGATTTTATCATTTCCTTTATTTTTTTCTCTTTTCTGATTAGTAGTCTGGCATCATCATGTTTATGTAACAGAGGATGGATGCCCCAGAGTTTGGGTTGTGACTTCTGATCACTGTCAGCAGCATGCGGCCTATGAAGCAGTAAACTCTCCTCTAATATTGTGAAGAATAAATAAGTTTATTTTTCATCTTGATGTCAATGTGGTCAAAGTTGGTGTTTTTCTCTCACAGATCTACTTCGCTTCAAGGTATTCTGATGTTGCGGATGCTCTTAAGGATCTGAGGAATAAGCTGTCAGAGAATGAGTCAAACTTAAACTTTATATCATACCCTTTCTGCGGACCATAGCAAAGTACATGAATCCATTACCGAAACATAGAACAAAATTCTCATTCAACAAATGGAGTAAAGTCTATTCATAATTAGTTGCCACAAAGGGGATATCAAACATAGTAGTTTCCAATGATCCTTTCCTTATACTCTGTTTTGATTAGTTTCGTTGGTTTACTTATTCTTTTGCTCTTTGGAGTTCGGGGAATTAGTGCTTTCTAAGATAGGCTGTCATGTGCTCTGGACCTCGGTATTTGCATGCCAACCTAACCTACCTTTAAAATGGTCTTGCCCTACCTATGACTTGTAGCTTAATTGATTCATAGTTAAAAGCCAATACATTTTCATAATGGGCCTACGAAGTTCATATTGAGCTCATAACTTATCCAAAATCTGTCTACACTAAGTCAATGTAATCATATAAGAGTAATGCTACAGTTACCGAATGATGCGTATCGAATTCATGCATCGAATTACGTAACACAATCTTAACCATTGATTCATTATAAGTTAATATTAACCAAAGTCAAGATTATGCTATGTCATTTGGTGCATAGATTCGGTATGTAATTTTTGATAACTCTATCATTTTCCATCATATAATAGTTTCTAAATGGAGAAACACTTACACTTACTCTCCAATTTAGAGACTCCAAAGGCCTGCAGCCTGCTTGACTTGTCCCGAATAAATTTCTCAAGTAACCATGTGGAGTACGTAGGTGAGTCAATTCATTGCTTACATCAAAAGTTTTTTTTATTTTTTTATCAAGAAAATAATTTATTTTCCGGGAAAATTTCTTTGGAATTAGGTGAAATTGAATCATTCTTTTATTAGAATAGAAGCCAAACTCAAGTCAACATAACCCTTTGACCTAACCCCAGAGGCTGTTGTAATAAGAATTGAGGTGGAGGAATAAATTATAAAATTTGATTGTGTGAAGAAGTTTATAAGATTTGATTGCCGGCCAATCTTTATCCTTAGTACAATTGTGACCCCACAAAGTTTGTAAATTGTCACAATTCACAATCCTACAAACTTTGTGGGTTATTAGTAGAATAGTAATGTTAGGTTTACAACTTAATCTCTCAACCTCCGATACAGTTCGTAATTGGTTAGATAGGTAGGACCCATAGCAAGTAGATGAGACCCATTTGTGAGTTAACAAATTACAAGCTGTCATGTCAGAGATTATGAGATTAGATTATGGACCTAGTATTTTCTTAGCAGAATTGGTTAACTCTTCCTAATTATAGCTCTCAATTGGTCACCATATATTTGGTCAGGCAGAACCCATTGTTAGGCAAACGAAACCCATTGTGAATTAACCAATTACGAATTAACATATCATGTTTATGAGAGAAAATTAATGAGAAGGATTCGTGAGCGTAATATTACCCGCTAGACAAAATATGCAAATTTGCATTCGTCTTGTTAGTGGTCTTTAGATCTAACTCCCTGCTTCCAATTATAATGCTTAGCAGTTTATTAAGCTTCTACTTCTTTTATGCACAAAGCACAATGATTCAATTTCTGAGATTAGGCTTGAAGCCCAAAGGGATAGTTCTTCTTAATTAATTCATGATTGGGCCAAAGCCCAAAGGGGCAGTTCTTCCTAATTAATATCATAGTTGGGCAAAGCCCAAAGGGACAGTTCCTCTTAATTAATATCCAGCTTTGGGTGCTTTCTAGTTTCCATCAATAATATCTCCTCTGTATGTTACTGAATTACAAATTAATTTAATTCATTAACTCTGTAATTAACAAAATTTAACCTCCACTTAATCAGGTTAAATTTTGTACCTGATTGTTCGATTTTTCACAGGTTTACTCGTTGGTGCACTTGCTAACATTTCTGATGCCGAAACTGATATCTTGATATCTTGTTTGACTTTGGCAGGGCATGGTTCAATTTCCACGAGGAATTTGAGGCAATGTCATTATAAGAGTCTTCTTCAATGGATTCTTGACCTAGCCAAGACTTTGTCACTTTCATCTGATCTGATGTCAATATGCCTGCTTCGTCAGTACAAATAACCGTGGCCGAGCCCATTGTCTCGCAAGCCGAAAGTTTCCATACAATTGCCTCATCACTCATCATTCTCTTCATGGTATGAGCAAGTGTGAGAGAGACAACTAAAGATGACCCATTTGGATTTGCTGCTAAAAAAATTGCACAGTGGACTCAGCAAGAGATGCAATTGACTTCAGAACATCATCAAATCAGTTTTACTACCATTAAACTCCTTCCCACGCGGACATGCCTACTCTTCCAATGAAGGAGCTTCGTCTGTCAACCCGAGCTTGTAAAGGGGTTCTGTCATTCGATTCATCATCGCATATGGAACTCAACGTTTTACCCCATGCAGTGAAATTGGTAAGCACAAAAACTATTACAACCAAAAGGAGAGCTACAGATATAAGCCCACCTTCATACCAACCTTCTTCCACCCCGTGTTGTTTGATCCCAAGACCGCGAGACACAATAGACCATACGAAGAGGAAAACTACGGCGGCGTCTTTGAATGCATCTATAAGGAAATGCAAAAACTTTTTGCAGGTAGCTTATGCTAAGTGTTGGTAACGTTGTTGCCGCTGATTCCATTACTAATACTGGGATTTGTTCCGGAGGCCGAGGCCACACCTTCATCTCCTCCAAACACATGGACATATTCCAAGCCATTTTGCTGCACCATTTCTGTTAGTGTTTGGCGCACAAAAGGGATCGATGGAATCTCCATAACAATCATTTGGAAAAGCTGAGAGCGACTGATCAGTAGTGTCATCATTCAAAGTGAAAGTCACCGGAAAGCAATCCCATTCCTGGGAACTTCGGCCCGCTGCTGCGAATTGCATCTGAAGCACTGCAATTGCCTTATCTAAAGACCTGACATGTATCCAAAATAGCCATAGCAAAAAACACATTAACTAGTCAAAACTTAATCCAAATTAGAAACAAGCCAGGTTGAAATATTATTGAGCAGATTGTTTGTACTGACTGAACTACTCCATCATGGGTTTTCACTTTTTATAACCTAATTATAATACGTTTACAACTTGTAAATATGAGTGGATAAAGAATTACAAGTCTTAAAATACATGTTAATTTGATTGAATTAAAGAAATTCATTCTAAATCTTAAAACATTTAGTTTGTGGAATGTAGAAAGCAATGGAGGATATTCGGCCCAAAATTTTCGTATCAAAGGACTGATTACAAATGTTGATTATAATTAACCCCTAGGAGAATGATATCCGTTGTATGTGCATGCAATACCTAATGGCTATATTAAAGTTAAAAATAAGTTACTTGATGACTTTGTCTTATACCTGACTCTTTACTTATCAATTGGTACATATATATCCATACACAAGAAGCTTAACACTTAGAAATCAGCTCATTTATGGCTGAGATTAAAGTTTAAATAAATTAATCACTTGATAATTAACTCCGTTTTACTTTTTCTTGATTTATACATGTACATACACAAGTAGTTTAATAAAGACTTTAGAAATCAACTCTCTTTCTCTCCCAGTCTCCCACTTTCTCTACTTAATTTCTACATATCTTGCAATTCGATTAGCAATGTCAATTTTCAAAATTTTCTCAAAGAAACTCACCAAGACAGATGTTGAAAATAGATTGTCAGTGACAACCAAAAGCCTCAGTTCCTTCCCTCCATTCGGAGAACACCAGAATTATCTGGATATCTTGGTGGACGATGATGAAGGCCATAAGTGGCCATTTCGCTTGGTCGTCCGCAGGGGCCGGTATGGAAAGCCTATTCTTTCAGTGGGTTGGCTTCATTTTGTTCGAACTAAGCAACTCCAAAGTGGTTTCAAGGTGAAACTTTACAGGGAAGAAGATGACGTTACAGTCGAGGTCAAATACGAGGTTAAACTGAAGAAGCCCTATATTGTATTCAAAGCTAAGCTTGGTTATGTATCTCTGTACCCTGCTGCTTAAGGGCAACATTTCTGATACCGAAACTAATATTAGGTAATTTTATTTTTTTAGTTTTTGTGATGCGATTTTGAAA